TAATAACAGGCTTCCGCTGTTGAAGGATTCTCTTGGCTCTGCGAGGAGCAGAGGTCAGAATCTTGATTATCGCGGGTCTGGAAACATTACTCGCGGTCGACGCGTTTAATACGGACGCCGGAATATCACGAACAACGGGGGACAAGATTCGATTTAAACGAGATGATAAAACCGTGCGACAATAAACGTCGTTCGGCCATTAAACCCTGTGAATCGAAAGCTCTGTCTCTGTCGTCCGTACCCGCAATCGTTTGCATCTTCAAATTGAACCAGCTTTACGCCCCTATCGAGTTTTATGCTGCATCATCGTGTTCATATTATCGAGTTAGAGACGGGAATTCAATCTACGAGCTTCGTGTAATTTTCGCGTTAGATATTCCATTGAAAAATTGCTTTTTTAAGTATTGACATTTATGAGTCATGTCACTTATTTCATTCAGAGTTATGTAAAAAAGGGAGCAGAAAGAAATTTTGGAAAGAACAAAACTTGTTGAGTATAATAATACAGTGTTATCTGTATGAAGATATACATGTGAACTATAATATAGCTCTATAGTGTCATGTTCTTAAAAGGAGTGATATCGTTTGCTTCGTTGGTAAAAGTCATAGGTCTTGGACTCGTTACAAAACAAAAAGAAAACCGGAAAAACTATGGGTTGTCCCGTTGGCTCCGAACCGTAATCCCTTTGGTCCTGGAAACGAGCCGACCAATGCTTTCATTCTCGAATAAACGACCGATATCGATCGCGATCGGTATCTACACCGTGACGAGATACGCAAGACTAATGGACCCTACCTCTCTCTGCTGTCCCGTCCCTCTCACGAGCCCTTATCCCCCTTTTTATCTTCCCTCCGTACGGCCCTTGTTGCGAACACGCCCTTATATAAAGGGACTCTCGCTGTACGACTTGCAAATTTTGCCCTCGATTTTGTCTCTCTACTCTTTTCATTTAAACCGGAAAAACATTCACATCATCTGGGACATAGGGCGAGGAAAGCACATTTTAAGAATTTAGAAATTAAAATATTTTTGAATTTATAGATGAGAGCATTTTTGAAGGTCACATATAGATCTCATAGAAATAATACATTTTTGTATTTAAATTTTTGGTTATGAAAATTTTTAGCTTCGTTAATCTAAAAAATTCTGAATTGTTAATTTCCAAATATGAGGTGTGACAATATTGCACGTGCTACAGACTTTTCACATTGTATTTTCGAATAAAATAGTAATAACTAATAGTGCTATTAGTGCTGTTACCAACTTGATAAAAGTGTTCAGATTTTCAAGTCTAACGTAATAGTGCTATCTTCAACGTCGACTCTTACAAAAAAAATTAGTGTAAAAGCCCATATATTGGGTTGTCCGGAAAGTTCGTGTGGATTTTGAAGGGAATTGAAACGTAGCTCATTTAAATTTGGTACACATTTATTAAATTATATAGGTGCCATTCTGTTCTATAACCTTTCTCCATCTTTTATGCAACTTGAGAAGTCCTTCCGGAACGTCTCAGGCTTTTTGGTGAAAAATTATTCTAAATAAAATTTTATACTGGCTACCAAAAATCGGCACGAACTTTCCTGACAACCCAATATATTATCAAGTGTAACCTACTCATCTAAGGTATTTATTATTGAAAGTATGAATGATCAATAGTATCACACAGAGATAAAATGACTTATGAAACGTAAAGTTGAGAATCACTGTCCGGTAGGTGAATTAGTTAAAGCATACCTGGGATGGGGTCTTGTACACACCATGTAGAAACGATGTTACGAGAAACCGGTCTTGGATGTGCACACGCACAGACACGCGAGTATGCACACACGCAGACAGGAAAGGGAGAGAAAAGATACTTAGATTCGGCAGACTGTGTTCAGAGGTTAGGTAGAGCGATTTCACGTTCGTTTTTCTCATTTTCTCCGCGCGTTTATCCTCCTTCTTGGCCGGGATCTCGCATTACGGCTCAATTTGGCCCGCTTTTCGTAATCTCGTTCGATCGATGTAATCTCGGCTCTCGGCAGCCGTGTACCGGCCCTAAAGACCCTACGAGGAGGGTTCTTTTAGACGTTATTACGAATTCGAGCAGCATCTCGGTTTAGGTAACTCGATAATTCGATTAACCCTTGGGAATCTTTCTGCTCGGCTTAACTGGCTACATCTCGAGATCTCTTTCTTTGATATTTTGGCTATTGAACTGTCGTTTCGCGTACAGTCAAGAACAAATCTCTTACCTAAATATACCAACTAATAAGTCTTCCTCTTCCTTGTTTTTTGAGGAGTTAAAAATTTGAGGTCTTAGAACGTTTTAAGTTTACGGATCTACGAATGTGTTTCTAGAAATTTGACAACTTAAGAGATTGTGAAAAATGAGGTTTGATGATAGAAAGTTATGAGGTTTTGAACAGCTTGTCCACAGTGATAAAAAAATATTTGATTGCTTATTTTATATTATTAAATTGATTTTATATTATTTACAACATAGAAGATTGCGAAAAATGAGGTTTGAGACATTAGAAAGTTATGAGCTTTTCAACAGCTTGTATCCACAGTGATAAAATATTTGTTTGCTTATTTTATATTATTAAATTAATTTTATATTATTTACAATATAGGAGATTGTGAAAAATGAGGTTTGAGATGATATAAAGTTATGAGCTTTTCAACAGCATGTCCACAGTGATCAAAAAATATTTGTTTGCTTATTTTATATTATTAAATTGATTTTATATTATTTACAATATAGGAGATTGTGAAAAATGAGGTTTGAGACAATAGAAAGTTATGAGTTTTTCAACAGCTTGTATCCAAAGTGATAAAATATTTGTTTGCTTATTTTATATTATTAAATTGATTTTATATTATTTACAATATAGGAGATTGTGAAAAATGAGGTTTGATGATAGAAAGTTATGAGGTTTTCAACAGCTTGTCCACAGTGATCAAAAAATATTTGATTGCTTATTTTATACTATTAAATTGATTTTATATTATTTACAACATAGGAGATTGTGAAAAATGAGGTTTGAGACAATAGAAAGTTATGAGTTTTTCAACAGCTTGTATCCAAAGTGATAAAATATTTGTTTGCTTATTTTATATTATTAAATTGATTTTATATTATTTACAACATAGGAGATTGTGAAAAATGAGGTTTGAGATGATAGAAAGTTATGAGCTTTTCAACAGCTTGTATCCACAGTGATAAAATATTTGTTTGCTTATTTTATATTATTAAATTGATTTTATATTATTATCTAACATACATTCAACGTTTTTTGCTAAAGTTTATTAAATTTATGCAGACACGTTATTTCTACTTCAAGTCCAGTAATAAAGCTAAAATATGAAGTCGAATATTGATTAGAAATTATAGTAGGAAATGGTTCGAACGAGCCTAATGTTCCTTAATATATCTCTTGATAGAACCATTGAATTTATTAACCTAACTTATAATATCGAGTACCACTCGTTACGCAACTAACAATAAATCTACATCGTATTTGTAATACACAGACAGTATTTGTAAAGTCAAGGATCGTTAAACGCGAGGTATGCATAATATTTTAACTTTCTTTATTTGCCTTATAATTGGTGGAAAAGAAACTGAAAAGGCAAGAGGTTAAAGTATCAGGTTGTTGAATATCAAATGGCGAATTTCGAAACATAGAAAGTCTAACACTGTTTGATGACACAGGAGTAGAATGACACTTACGGCGTATCAAGTTTAAAATTTTATGAAAGCGGCTACGCAAACCATTCTCGATGTAAAATGGCTAATTGCCAATTACAGCTACCGGTTGCGAAACGTAGAAAGTTCGATGCGAATTAATGACATAAAAGTATCGTGAAATAACACTTATGTCACGTCTATTCAAAGTTCGACGCTTGACGAAAATTACATAAACAATTAGTCACTTTTGTTGTAAATTGCCTACTTTTCTGGAACGAACAAAAACATTTTATATTGCGAACATAAATTTGTACATTTACATTATTTACATTATAATTTGTACATTTGCGTTAAACTACGAACATTCATTGTATCATTCTATTACACTATAAGTGGCTCGGCTCATGTCGTTAAATCATGTCAAACTTTCTATATTTCAAAATTCGTCATTTGCATACGAGAATCGTGCAATGATAAACGATCACGCGAGGTGTGTTCGACTTATTCGAAGCAGAACTATCATCAAGATACTCAGCACTTCGAACTATCAGGTGTAATTGACTCACCAATTGCATAATAAGCTGCGCTCGAATGCATCCGATGAAATATTCATTCCTATCTCCCATTTCAACTTCTTGAGTCATTTAGCTGCTCGCAAATTGTTGCTTATCTGACTCCTGGCACAAGTTCGTTAATTATTTCGGTCGTGATACGCGTCGTAAATTATTTGAAAAGTAAATGTGCGTATCATGTAGATATATTTCTTGTGTATTTCTGAATTCCAAGATTTTTATATCTGAATATTCCTGGATCCGAGAAAAACTCCTAGATCCCTACATATCAACCGATCATAATACCTATGTCGACAAATATTCGAACCTTTAATCCCTAAGATACCCAGATCACTAAATTCTGAAGCACCCAAAATCCGAAATTATCAAATTTCGAGATTCGCAAATGCATTAAATTCCTGAATCCTAAATTCCACGTGTTGAAATTTCTAAATTGAAATATCCTAACAACCCCACCTCCAGAATCGTAAATATGCCCAGTTGAAACGATCGGTAGAAGAAGCAGGTGTAGAATCGCAGAAAAATAAAATAAGCACTTCGATAAGCTCTTTGCACGTTCCTTGAAGCACATTCGATCGCATGTTGCCCGCGTTGATTACACGAACACATTAGATATCGCGAACGATTGTCGAGCGTATTGCGCGCGAATCTCGCGTTAACGCTTGTATCAGCACGCTTCTTTATATTCATGCGCGCGCCACTTTATATCTCTCACGTCTAATATATCGTTCGTTTTTTCTTTTCATTCTTCCAGTACTACGAGATGTCCTACGGGCTGAACGTGGAAATGCATAAACAGGTAAGCCTTCTTCGAGTTAATTTGAATTTCAAATGAGTATCATCGAACCGCGACGATAGAAGCCGTGGCTGAATCGTGTGTATACGAGTTGTTCTGTTCGAGGGTGTGTCTCGGTCTGTTTGTGTACGTGCGTGTGTGAGTGTGTTGACGCACGTGCACCGGTAGCTCGAGCACACCGGTATAGTAATTACTTCGTTGACTTAACGCGTGATAGGCCGACGTGTCTCGTTGAAATTTATGTTTTCATTCATGACGCGAACGTGCGCGCTCGCCCGAACAATATCCGTGCGGCGACTTACTAATCGCTCGGTCGGACGGTTTCGCGCGTGGCCCTTAATCCGAAATTAAAGGGAGCCGAACGACCAGAAGGGGAATCGAGATTAGGGAGACAATTCCCTACGGATCTACCGGCTATTGAATAAATATGTAAACAAGGTAATAACATGCAAATTGCACGGAAGGGAAGCCGCTTCTTCCAGCGACCTACGGATCGAGAAAAAATGGAGACTGCTCGTGGCTGTCTTTTATTACGAATTATTGAGGGGATTTACATTACTTTACCGGCCTGTTCTTTTGCCTCCCATGTACCACGTTTTAACTTTCTCTTCTCGGCTCACGTTCTACCCTTGCGGTTTATCTCTGCAAATTTTTAATTTATAAATTCAGGGACGTATAGAAATATCAAATTTTTCTGACGAAGAAAAGGTTCGATACAAAGAGGAACAGATTGAAATGTAAGACTTGTTCATAAGGGAAAGTGTCTCTTCAAATTTGTATAATTCGATGCAGTTTCATACTATTAGTAAATTGAAATTTTTATTTTGTTCCTTTTGTCTTGTACATATAACGTTACAGAAATGTAAGAATGCTACGGTTTTGTTCCAAATTCGATTCTCGTATTTTCATTTTTCCGACTCGTCCGTCTGTTTCTGTCTTCCGCAAATTCTTTTTCGTCGAAGCTAATATTCGAGCTGCGCGGAATGCTAACGTTCGACGTTACGTTTACATTGTTTGCACAGAGAGGAGGTTCTCTTTGTACGGGAAATTGCGTTTCGCGAGTCTCCTCGAGATTGCGACGTACTTCGAAACACGATATCCCGACAGGGGATCTGTCGGGGGCATTGAAAGAAAAATGGCACAACGATATCAAACGTAGTACGCCTCTTAATGGCCCTCGCGATCTGTTTGGCCAGTAAACAGACAGAAATAGAATTGGAAGTGGTTCGTTTGATATCGCGAGAATTTCAGCGAGAGGAAAAGTGGTGGACCACGTTCGAGGGGGAGGGCAGACGACGGAATTCCTCGTCGAAAACGCATTCTCGATATTAATAAAGACAAGGACCGTCGCGGGATTTGCATCACAAAGATCGTGGCCGTCCTGTTTTTCTTGCGCCCGTCATCCATATTCATCGCGGCAATCGGCCGATTTGAATTTCCCGTTTTCTCGTCGCTCGATCGTGACCGCCATTGTAAATATCCCGATTTTTCTCTCCTTCGACGCTCTCTTCTACTCGCCATTGGCGTAAGTAACGTTCCTCCCATTACTCCCGTATTAGCCATGGAAAAGTGGCTTTTCGATATTTTAAGATTCCTGCATTTTACAAATTTTTATATTTGAACATTCAATTGAAACTTTGAAAATTTTTTTAATTAAAAAGGTACTTGTCTATACCTATAATATGAAAACAAGCGTAGAAAATTTACATGTGAGTATTTTATATTCGATCCTTGGTTATACACATTATAATTGGATCTAAACTACGAGTTGAAGAGCATGTAAAATTTTTAGTAAGATCTCTAATGAGCTTTATACATCTGACTCGATATTATAAGACAAGTATTTGACTTTGGAAATATCTAAATTCCCAATATCAGGTTTAATGTCTATCTCGAGCCACGTAGTGAGGTCTAATTGGAAGCAACAGGGGGTGCGTATTCCAGCTATGTATAGGAGGTTGATTCCTATCTAGTTACGCCAATGTTCGTCACCCTTTTCCCCATTCCCTCTCCTTTCCCTGACCGATTCTGTCGAGAGGGAAAAAACGGCGTATTCCGACGGTATAATTTGTTGGCGGCGAGGAGGACCAAAAGCGGAACGCTCTCTCGAGCGGAGAAACCTCGTATTTCATTTCCCGTTCGCTCGCACGGCATTCCAGTACGTTAATGTCGTCAATTACCGTACACGTCTTCGTCCGTTTTTACCAACGATTCATTTACGAGGTCCGATCATGAAAATTTATCGAGCGGACTCGATCGAAACGGACGGGAACGAGACCCGGTTTGACGCGTACGTTTCACCGTGCTCGACACATTTTGGCGGGAAATTTCTTGGCGTAAAACATCTTCTCGGAACACTCGAGACCGAACAACGAAACCCCTGACACGGTGAAACGCCGCTATCTCGTACATCCAGATCAAGGAATCTCGATCGTGAATTCACAGAAGCGGATAAGTAGCCTTTCTCCGTCTTCGATTCTTTTCTTCTTGCCTTCTTCTTCGGCTGCGCGCAGCTACGTAAGCCGGCTTGCCTGTCGACGTGCCAGGAATAATGTTCGCGTTTATTGAATATTTAGCAGCCGGTCCCGTTATTTCCTCCCCTTACGGCACCCTACTTCGACTTCTTCGACTCGCCTTCTTCCGGACGGATGCACCCCTCAAATCGTAAATCGGCCTTCGAAACCCTCTTTGCCAGACTAAAAGCACCTATTCTTGTATAGAAGTTTGATAAAAGCTCATTTTAAGCGGCCGGTCGGAAAGCGCTTAAACTAGGCTCCTGTTATTGTTTGCAAGTTTTAGAATTTGGGTACTTGGATACCTTTCTTGCCTTCTCGTTCGATAGACTTAATAGTCATAAACATGTTTCTTATCGAGACAAAATTGACTTATTCACGTCATGAAAACAATGAATCATCGACAGTGGTAAAGTGAAAAGGTTGTAAATTCGCTCGAAGAGAAAGGGGATGGAAGAAGAAGCGTTTCATAAATTAGTCGATCGTAAAGCCGATCGAAAGTGGAAGGAGACGGAGGTTTTGCGCCGCGATACACGCGGACATGGCCTCGAGGGAAAGACAGGAGGCGATCTTGACTTTTTTCTCGCTGTCAGACGGTGCGTATTACACGTTCGGTAAATCCAGCGAAGATTTACGCGGGTACACTCCGGTGCAACGACTTAAATAGGGACGGTGTCTTTCCTCAAATTTTCCAAATTCTTAAATTCTTCAACATTCGAATGGTTCACAAGGTTCACACAGATGAACAATTTTCACTATATTCTCACAGCTTTAGATTTCCAAATTTCTATGCCTTCAGATTCTTAAATTTTCTTAATTCTTAGACTGTCACATTCTAGATTCTCATAATCTTCAAAACACCAAGTTTCATAATGTGTCCCCGAATTAATCTGTTCCCAAATCTTCAGAAGTCCTTAAAATCGTAACAGAGAGAGATTCTCTTTTGTCATCATATTTTAGGGCCAAAATATTTGCTGTCGACTGTACGCTAAAGTTACGGAGAGAAGCAAGTGGAACAGGGCCGGGAGGAAATTTTGTCCGACCGGTCCCTCGATACGACTCGTTCCGATAAATAGAGTGAATTATTATCCGGGACGGATCTTCCATCGAATTTCCATCCAGCAGTCATCCCCGAAGGCTCGAATCGCGTATAATCGCCGGTGCCGGTTTTCACAAGCTGTTCGAGTTGGCCGAGCGTTGCGCGACACCGACGAGTTATGAGAATTCGCGGTGTCCATTGTAAAATTTCGATAGCGGACGTGTCAGAGGCTGTTTACACGATCGTATTTCTGCAGCCTGCAATTTCGTGCCCGATCGCGTTTATAAAAGCGAAGCCAGAACTATCCCCTGGTCGTGCCGCGTTATACTCGACCCGACCGATTAATCGTTCACGTTTATGACGAGATACCGTTGTTGTTGGCGTGGAAATAGAAAAAGGAGAGGACGGAAACAATGGGAAGGGCAGCAAAAATTGGTAACCCCGGTGCGATACGAAGAACGAGGGTGAGTAACGGTTACGATGAGGAGGGCGAAATATCGGATGGGAAGACTGGATGCTTTTGCAATTTGAAAGTTAGGGAATTTGGGGCATTTTGTAAATTTGGATTTGGTTAATTTGAAAATTTAGGGATAAAGAAATTTGAGAACTTGAAAATCTGGAAATTAAAAAATGTATGGATTGGAAATTTAGGAACTTGACTATTCAGAAATTGGAGAATTCGAGGATTAGAAAATATAAACGAAAGATAGGATTTTAGGAATTGGATTTGGGGGATTTGGGAATTGGGGGATTTGGGAATTGGGGGATTTGGGAATTGGGAAATGTGGGAATTGGGGGATTTGGAAATTGGGGAATGTGGGAATTGGGGGATTTGGGAATTGGGGGATTTGGGAATTGGGGAATTTGGGAATTGGGGGATTTGGGAATTGGGGGATTTGAGAATTGGGGAATGTGGGAATTGGGGGATTTGGAAATTGGGGAATGTGGGAATTGGGGAATTTGAAAATTGGAAAATGTGGGAATGGGGGGATTAGGGAATTGGGGGATTTGGAAATTGGGAGATTTGGAAATTGGGGAATTTGAAAATTGGAAAATGTGGGAATTGGAAAGCATGGGAATTGGGAAACGTGGGAATTAGGAAATTTGGAAAGTGGAAAATTTGGAAATTGGGAAATGTGGGAATTAGGAAATGTGGGAATTGGGGGATTTGGGAATTGGGGGATTTGGGA